GGGGGGGGGGGGGGGGTATCCTCACATGGTCATCATGAGATAATTACTTTCTGAAAATGTGTGAGTCTTCTTTAAAGAGATGCTGTGCTCATTCCAGTATTATTTTTCTATCTCCACAGAAAAATATGAACCCTGTGGAAGGTTAGTTCTATGAATTTTCTGTCAGCGAGTCTCAGAAGTCAGAACATTGTAATCCTCAGATATTCTAAATTGTTACTTAGAGAAATCAATTCTGACATCTCAGAGGGTTCGCTATTTACGTTGCATTGCAAACCACTTTAAACAACTACAGAGATGCCAAGCTTCAGAATTTTAAATTGATCCTTCACAAGAAAATACTAATATTATCTATTATTTAACAGAAGGATCTAAGAAAATTAACAATAAAATGCAGTAAAGCATATTTATGTTGCAAGCAAAAAAAGTAGGAACAATAGTGTATCTCATCAATCATGCAGATGCGAGACATTTATCATAATATAGTGACAATTCCTACAAAAGTGGTGTCTGACACAACCGTAAACAAGAAAGACTCATGGAAGTCAACATTGTGAACACCCCTCAAAAAATACATTGGTATCAAATTGTTACTTTAAAAACCTGAACTACCATGTTGACTTTGAATTTCTTGAGCCCCACAAAAACCTGAAGAGTAACTGAACTCTTGTCATACCAAACAAGACTATTTAGATGCCTTGAAAAAGTGTCCCTCTGCATTGTGCCAGATGTGTGTCAATTCACTGTTAGAACTCTGTTGTATTGATAGTGCATTCTACAACACCATTATTTCAACAGGTAATGAAATCAGGGCATTTCAGTCATTTTGAAAAGGCACTCCAAACAGATTAGGTTATTCAGATTGATTTATTGGAGGACAGTATGCCTATCATACAGTGCCCCACAAGTTTGTTTCCCTGAACACCTAAACACTCTTTTTAGTACTTCCTTACTGTTTCAGAATTGACATTGAATTACCCATTTACATTTTTACTTCAGAGCTGTTACTAGAAATTGATACTTTAAAATAACATTCTATTTTGGTTAATAAAATACAAAGGTTCTAGTTGTTTGTGTTATTTTTTATTGTTCCACCACTTTGAAAAGTCTTTAACCCTGCAATATTTAAAATTCAAATTTCTGATGGAAAAAAATTTCATGTATTATATACCATAGCAATAGAAACTGCTTAAAGATTTTTGAGAATATTTCAAATAATTTTTTAAATCAAATTTGGAATGATTACATGGCTAAAATTCAGTAAACATTTTATTTTATGCTTGATTTTACTTAATTTTGCTTTTGGGACACTTTCAGACTTACATAAAGAGTATCTCTCTTTTTACAGAAATCAGTCACTCTGATATTGCACTCTTCAACTGTTCACCTCACAGATGCCTAAAATACTCTTTGTGACTAAACCTTATCCAACAATGCACAGGCAAACAACACTTGTTGAAATTTTAAATAAACTGCCCATATATGATATCAGCTCTTATCCACCATGACAGTTTTCTCATAAATGGCGCATTGGCTTTTATCTGCTCTTGGCAGAGTATGGGTGAAAAGAAAGGGTCGGACAACACCCTACCTTGCTGGAGAAAAATGAGATTTGTTACGTAATTTCCAAAATGCTCTTAATCCACCAAAATTAAAAAATCTTACTCTTGTACACTACAATAAACGAGACAAAAAAAATCAATCTCCATATTTTGAAAGAAATAGGCATTTTTAAGGAACTGTATTTTAACAAAGGATTGTCTTTACAGAATTTAAAGAATGAATTAATTTTCTGTGATACTGATATTACTTGCGCAACTTTTCTTGAATGATGGATTGAAGAAATGCGGGTAGTGTGGGGGTATTAGTTACGAAATCTGCAACTAGATTTTATGAAGCAATGCCATTTTCTGGAAAATCAGTCAAGCTTTTGCAACTTTCTCAATAATTTGCGTTTTAAGTGTCTCAGGAGTTCGAAGTATCTCCTGTGATGGATCTCCACCTGTTTCAGTCATTTCTTTACATTTTTTGGAGAAGAACATGGACAGAAGTTCTCATCTTCAACAGAAGTTTTTGTTTTGCGTGAAGATGTGTTTGGAATGTTATCATCAGTGCTTGCAGTGAGCTTTTGCCCAGAATTGTTTACTGTGCCAGAGGGGGGGGGGAATCATCATACACTAAAAGTTGCGTGATTAATACCCATTTTCCCATGAAATTTGAAGTTCTCCAACTCTATTAGTCTAAAAACTCGCACCATTCCAAAAATGCATAAACAAAATATTTTTCAAAGTTCCTCAAATTTCATCTTTATTTATAAGAGACGATACACACTGTAATCAACAGCTAAAATGAGATCACTTAGTGAATACTGTGAAAACAAAGGCTTCTTAAACCTAAATGCATCAAATAAACACAGAACACTTACCTTTGGTCTAATGGAGGGCACCAAAATGCTATTTATTCCTCCTAGTTTTACATTGATCTTCAAACACAAGTTGGATAGCGTTTGTGGGGAAGTTTTGTTTACATTTTTAGCTTGAACACACTGGGTAGCCATACCCAGAACAGTATCACCAACTCTCTTAACTTCAGCTAAAACAATATTTAAATATCTATTAAATAAATGTGAAATACACGAACAATAAGTATATAAACATTGTACTAATAATTGATATTACGGTCTGAGTTACAGCAAAACATAACTAACAAGAATTTAATTACCTCATAATTTAGATATACGAATCAATTGAACACCAAACGACACACCCAATTTTTTGTTTTAGGTCTTATCTCAGCTTAACAAAAAGCTTCTCTTTGATGAAATTAGGAAACTATTTTCCATGATTAATTTGAACTGATTCTACTACAAAAAATTTCATTTTGTAGCACCATTAAATTACCGTAAATACGTATAAAGAGTATAAAGTATGTAAAAACATGTAAAAAGATGTTTTCTTAATATCTTTAAGAAATGAGATAAAGGTTAAAGAGAATTTCAATGAACCTTCAGAAAGACTAATCTTCCAAATCATGAAAATCAAGAGAAAGATATTCATCATTAGGTTCTTGGAATAGGCTCTATCAAGTTGACACATTCAGTAAGCAGTGCACCCTTTAGATTCCTTACGATTTGAAGTGCAAGTTGTCGTAAAAGAATTAAGGGTACAGCTATCTGCCAGAACCATCAGTCAAAATTGAAGAGTTATGAATTCCACTAGAATATTTATTGAAAGTCTTGTATGGAAGTAAGTGTAATTGTTCATTAAAATGTTAACAAAACACTGAATCAAATACTGTATAGGAATATTATTGTTCACTTTTCAGCATCACACTCACCATACACAGGTGTCTTCCCTGGAAGTACTACAACTACTAATTGCAATGAAGCAAACGAAGATTTCAGATAGCGGAACATAGGCTCTACCTGATCTGGTCCTGTCGCATATTTGCCTGGAAAAAAGAAAAAAATGTGGGGTTATGAATGTAGAAATTGCACAAGAGTATTAACAGAAAAAAACATAAATGAATCAAGAACATGTATACTAATGTTGATGCTAAAACTGGAAGAAAGAGTGCTTTATTGTATTAGTACAATACAAAAAACTCCACAAAATGAAATATGAAATATAAAACTCCTATTTTATTTCTCTTTTAGTATGATTTTCTTAATTATTTGACTTAGAATATGAGTGAAGTAAACTTTGGGAGGTGGACACTGAGAAAGGTGAGGCAAGGATGCACTAGAACAGATAGACATGGACAAACAGGGCAGAAATTTATGGAATTCATTAAATTGTTAAACTAGCTACGCTAAAACAGCACATACTGTCTCACATTATTTGTAACTTTGCAATTTTCAAAAACACAGTTCAACAAAAATGATACTAGCAACATTTTTCTAAGGATTCTTAACTCCATCTGAGGCAAAATATGAAGCTGCTTTTAAAAATTACTTTTTTATAATTTGCCTTTATTTCAAGTAAAAATTTCACAATAACTACAAGTTTTATTATTAATTTTCTTTCATCTATTCTTTTCTTTCTTTTTTCAAAAAGCAGTACATGGACTTGCTTAAAGATCTAATTTTTTAGAACATGCTTCACTAACAAAAAATGTCTCCATAATCAATTTTTCAATTTTTCAATGTTAAGTTTTACTTTCGTGCCTTTCTCGGTAAGAAGAGATAGTATCATGCACTGGTAAACAGCAATTTTTTTTATAGAAAAACTCTTTTGGTAAAGCTCTGGCAATGAAAAAGATAAATCTTGTTCCTATTATCATTAAATTACTTTCTCTAACACGTTGCATAGTCAGAATCCACGTTTCAGGAGTCCTTCAAACCAAAAAGTCAACTGATAGGAAAATGGTCCATGGCCTTTTAAAATAACTTTAAAGCGTTGAGACAATTTCCTCTAAAATTGAATTTCTTAACCAAATTGAAAGAGCCCAGCACGCTTGAAATGGATATTTTGATTCTTGGAGGTACTTTATATGAAGCCTCAACAACTCTTTGACAATTTTCTCAAAAGTGTCAGAAATTGTTTTGATTAAACCTTGTCCTTGGATAGTGTAGAGCATGCTTAAAAGAATTGTGCAAGTCTCCTTTTCACTAAAATTCTTAATTTTCCAAAAATTGCAAAAGTTTAATTATTTTTTTCGGTATCTCCCTAAAACTACAATATTGATTAAGTGAGATGTTATCCTCACTAAAATCTGATCTTCAAAAATACTAGATCTTTCATTAAGGTCATGTACACTTTTTAAAAAATATGAGTAGTTTTCACTTCATGTTGCGTGAAATATAGGCAATTTTAAAATAATTATTTTCTCAAAAAAGGCTCCCAATTTTGCCTTTAAATTGCCTCCCATCACATAACAAATAATATTAAAAAAGTGGTACTAGTCCCTTTTCCCACAAAGTCACTAATTTCGAAAATTGCAAAAAGTTGACATGGCAAACCACAAAACCAAAGATGGTCATTTTTGTATTCAATACAATCAGCTCTAAAAAATTAAATCTTCATACATCAAAAACATTGCATACAATTTTAGTAGTTTTGGCTTAATTTCCTACTGAAGTTTGTATAAAACAACACCACACATTTTCTCAAACAACACTTCAGATATTTCATAGATAGAACAAAACATTCTTAAAGGAATGGTTCATGACTTTCATGTCTCATTTTCGTTGAACTGGCTGAATTTTCAAACTGTAACGGTTAAAAATAATTTAAGAAAGTATGTACAGTTGTAACACCTTTAATTTGCAATTTTTGAAAATACAGTGAATTGACAAAAACTGGATCTGCACCAGTTTAATAATTGAACTTTGCTTTATTTGAGTAACAAATTAAAAGAAAAAATGTCCAACCTTTTTTTGAGAAAATAACTTTAAAAATTGCCTATATTTCATGCAATGTTACGCGAAAAATACTTGTATTCTTGAAAAAATGTACATGGCCTTATTTAAAATTCTGTCTTTGAAGATCAGCTTATATAAAGGAAGAAATGATATGTATACAATATTATACTGGTAGAAAAAATTTCACACTTTTCGGATCTTTGAAAATGTGCAGAGTTCAATGCAAACAGGACGCATGCTAATTTTGTTCTTCGATTTATCTAAGAATATAAATTAAAAATATCATCATCATCAGCCTTGGTTTAGGAGTAGTGCTCCTGTCCTGTTAGTGGGTAGTAAAGCAGTTTTCTTTCATGTGGTGAAATGCTCCTGCTGGTGCCATATTCTTGTCAGTCTGCCTCTATCCCTCTTGCCATTTGGTGTGTAATGTAATGCCATCTGTGGTAGATGATGTTTGTCCATTCTTTTCATGTGTTTTCTCCATTTCTTTTGGTTTTTAGTTCTTTTCTTGTTACGTGTAACAATGCCTGTAGAAACTTCATCTGAGTTACTTCTACGCTTCTGGTTTCCTTTATGTCCATTATCCACATTCATGAATCCATACTTAACTTGTCCAATTTTTGCATTTCCTATTACTATTTTGGCTCTAAGATGTTCTTTGCCACAGAAGGCTAGTGTTTTAAGCTTTATGTTTTCATTTGGTAGGCTTTGCTTATTTTGCTTAATTTGAAGGCCGCTTTTTGTAGTGTGTCTTCCGAGTCTGTTAATATAACTTGGTCATCTGCGAATAATATTGCTACTAATTTCTGGTTATATGCCATCTTTATTCCTACTTGAGTTTTCTGTTTCCATGTTTTTGTCACGTGGTTTAAGTAGAAGTTAAAGAGTAGTGCTGACAGTGTGCCACTTTGTCTTAGACCTCTGTTGATCTATATCTGCTGCGTTGTGCCTTGGTAATTTTTAATAACTATTTTGGAATCTTGGTACAGGCTCTGTATATTTTTTATTAAATTTTCTGGTACCGTTTCTTCTTTCAGAATTTCCCATATCTTCTGCCTATTCACATTGCCATGGGCCTTTTCATATTCAATGAATAGTATACATGTTGGTAAGTTATGTTCTTTACTTTATTCTATAATCTGTTGTAGTGCATCAATTGTACTTTTCCCCTTGTGAAATCCACATTGTTTTACCATGATTTTTTTCTTCTTCGATTTTGATTAGTCTTATTAAGTCCACAAATATTTTTATGTCGCTGGTATCATGCTTGAGCATCATAGTTGCAACAACTTTTCCTGCTTCCTTTTTTGAAGATGTACACTACTGAAGTCCTCCATTCTTGGGGTACAGTTTTACTTTTCTTTATCTCATTTATAAGTTTTAGTAATTGGATATTTAGTTCCTGTCCTACATATTTTATCATTTCTCGTTTTATCCCATCTATTCCTGCTCCCTTCCTATTATTCAGGTTGTCTATTACGTATTTGAGGTCTTCCATTGCTATTTCATCTTCTTCTATTACTATTTCTTCCTCATTGTTTGCATCTCCTTTTGGATCATACCACATTCTTTTGTAGTTTTCCACCCACTCTTTGTCCTGAATTACGCTTGTGTTGAATCAGTCTCTTGTAGTCATTCCCAGTTTTTTCAGAATTTTATAACCTCCTCTTTGTGGTCCGGTGAAGTCTGTCTCCAGTTACTTCACATATTTGTCCCAATCATTCCTGCTTATTTCACGGGTTGTCTTCCTCACTTTTGCTGTGTGTTTTTGTGTATGACGGGATCCTCTACAGCCTTTGTTTGTACAAATTTTTGGCAAAATTTCTTCTTTTCACTTACAAGTTCCTTTATTTCCTGGTTCCGGGTCTTTCTTTTGGTACTTAGTTCTCTCTTTTGCTGCTTCAAGGATTGTTGTCTTTATCTTTTTCCAGCTTTCATCTATGGTCTCTTCTTTCTCCCCTATTGTTTTTAGATTTATCTTTAATCTTGTCTGGTATAAGGTTTTCACACTTTCTTCTTCCAGCAAATGGACTTTTAAACTTTTCTTTTCTGATGATTCTGTTCGATTTTCTTCCTTGTTTATTTTGTTGTAGGTTTGATATTACCATTTTGCTTATAACTGGATAATGATCACTATCTACTTCTCTTCATCTATATACACCAGTGTTTCTATATCTTGTGTGTTTCTAATCTGTGATTATATAGTCAATTATTGACCTTAAACCTCTTTTCTCCATGTGCATTGGTGTGCTGGCTTGTGTTTGAAAAATGTTTTCAGTTCATCATTTAGTTCTTTTTCTTTGTGCATTATCCCTCTAACATTCCGTGTTGCTAGTTTTATTGTATTCTTTATTTTCTTCTTTTCTTGTTCTTTTTTATTATAGTCTGATGCCTTTTGTTTTTGTTTTTTTTTGTATGTGACCATTGAAATGGCCTCACTATCACTCCTTGTGGCCAGAATTCTCCTCTTTCTGTTTGTTTAGCTTCTGTTATTGATATTATAACCTTGAATGTCTGTTGTGTCCTTTCGCTGTTAGATGTTCCCATGTATATCTTTTTCAATTCCTTTTGTCTTTAAGAATTTTACTACATCATCTGTTGTGGTTTTGCTAGCAAGTTTACCTACATAAATTCATTTGTATTTTATTCCTGCATGTAAGATTTCTTCTTCATTGTTGGCACCTGCAATTATTTTTGAGTTCTCTCTTCTGTACATTTCATTTTCTAGGTTTGTTTCCTTCATTCCTGTTTGTTGTAATTTCTGTTGTACTTCTCTTTCACTATTGGTGCTTGTTGTTTCTCTGCTTCCTTTGTTGATAAGACTTGTTTCTTCTTTTTCTGGTCCTGGTTCCGCTTGGTCTTGTAGATCCTGTCGTAACTCTATCTTAGGTGTTTGACACCATCGAGTACCTTCCCTCAGTCCTTGGTGTTTTGCTGTTGTGTGTTGTTTCCTTAGTTTTCTTTCTTTCCTCCTCATCTTCCTCTAAGTGTCCTCCTCTTTTTGGGTTGTGTATGACTGTTTCTCTTATGTTGTCTGTGTTATTTTCTTCTCTTCCTTCCTTTTCCACCTGTTTCAGGGCTATTTAGGCTGTTACTTTTAACATTTTTTACTTCTTAATTAATCCAGAATTTCAAGTCTATTTTTAGGCATGTCACTGTTTTTTCTAGGTTCATTATTTGTTTTGTCAGTTCTTCCATTTTTCTTCCCATGTATACCGTTTTTACATTCTTAACAATGCCATATCAGTTAAGCTGTGTCTCTAAGATTTTAGCATCCCTTTCCATTATGCTTATGCATAGAGCATGATATATATTTTTGCATTTCCCACTGCACTTACCGTTCAAATTGTGTATTGACTAGCTACACACAGTGTGTTTGTTCTTGGTTCCTTTTGCCTCAGCTTGCTGCACTGCTTTTCTCTCTTGCATCCGGTCATATTTCATGAGTCTTCTGTGTTCACTGGTCCGTTTTAGTCAATTCACTTAATTTTTGGTCATAAATCTGTTAACTTATTATTTCTTAACCCCTATTTGTGTCTACTAATCTTGACGCAGTACTTTCACTCATTTAGTCTATTTTCCCCACTACTTTTCACTAATTCATCACACTAACTACTCATACGTTTAAATTGGAAACGAAACCCATTAAAAATATTAAATTCCTTCGACATTAAAAATATTGAAGCCATTTTTGTGAAAATTTGGAAAATATACTGAAGACTTGAAATTAAGTAATGACTCAAAAATCTCAATCAAAACATCAACTCAAAAATCAAAATATGAATTTAAAATTCACAGAGCTTAAGTATAGCCACATCATTGGGGAATATCAATTTTGGAGAAATTTAACAGAATTGCTCTAGCAATGACTACAGATAGACGTTTGCTCTCAACCAATTTTTTGATATTGGTGACCACAAGACGTTGATTCTGACTACATGTGTTAGAGACAGCAATTTACTACACACAGAAACAAGATTTACCATCTATGTGTATAACATGGCCTCACAATACAAGTTTTTCTATCGAAAAAGGGCTTGATTTTTGCTTCAGGATTACATGATTATTCTTTACTACGCAAGTAAATAGTACAACAAGAAAGTAAAATAGTTACCTAAGTAACTCACATTTATGTTTGATATTAACAGATTAACATAAATTTGAATTACAGTTAACCCTGGTTATAGTGAACCCTCAGTTATTTTGAACTTAAGTCATAGGTCCAGTTACACTTGCATTACAAATAAGCATAAGAAGATTCGGTTATACATAATCTGTTAAAAAAATATGCGGACTGTTTGATTTGCACATCTCCAGTTGGTTCCACGGGAATCTGCGTGATGATGCACGGTTTGCTCAGGTCTGATTATGACCCCATTTTCTGATTGTTGATATCATCATTTGTTTATTAGCTATATGGTTTTTAGAGTGATACTTTCGTTTGGTGGATTTCAAAATGAATGACCTAAAAGAGCAACAAGTTGCTAAGAAATTTTGTGTTAAACTAGGAAAATCTGCAACAGAAACTTTCGCTTTGCCTAACACAGCTTACAGAGATGTTGCTATGAAACGTACAGCACATTTGAAGTGATATGAAAGTTTTAAAGATTGTCGACAGTCCATTGAAAATGAAGGGCATCCTGGATGTCCTTCCACGTCCACTGATGAACCACACAACAAAAATCAACATCTGACTGTCAGGGAGCTTTCTGAAATGTATGGGATATCAGCTGGATCTTGTCACAAGGTTTTGACTGAGAAAATGAAGATGGACCATGTTTCTGCAAAATTTGTGCCATGTCTGATAACGAAGGAAGAAAAACCCCGTTGTGTCCGGCATTGCCAGGAATTGTTTGATCTTTCACAAGAAGATAAAAACTTCTTGTCTAAGATCATAACTGGTGATGGATTATGGATTTATAGTTATGACATTGAAACAAAGGTCCCCCAATCCAAAAAAGCTTCCCCTGTTCGGTCGTAGGTCAAGGTGATACTGGCAGTTGTTGTTGTTGTTGTTGTTTTCTTGTAAGGGGATCACCACGAGTATCTCCCAGCAGTCTCCACAGTGAATGAAAATTAATATATTGAAGGACTGAAACGTCTGAGGGCCGCCATCTGTTGAAAAGAGCCAGAAATATGTAGGAGCGGTGACTGTTTTTTCCATCAAGATTACACTCCAGCCCATTCAGCACTCAGAACTCTCGAGTTTTTGGCCAAACACACGATCACTGTTCTCTCCCATTCTCTCTTCTCACCTGACCTAGCTCCTTGTGACTTTTTCTTATTCTCGAATCTCAAAAGACCCTTAAAAGGAAGATTTGAGACAGTGGTGCAGTGTTCCAACATTGAAACAGGCATTGAAGAGTGTCAAGACTGTATTACAATACTTACAGAAGAGGACAATGCAGATTCAAGTATGGAGAGAACACAAACTCTGGAGAAGGATCTAGAGGAATTACTAATTGAAAATGTTCAAAGCACATAATTAAAAATAACTGATTTTTTTAAAGGACAAATAATGATATTCAAATTTTCAGTCCATGCTGTTAATGAATTTTCCTGTTCCTCTACATTAATAAGAATCAATCACTGTGGAGATTCTATTTAATTTTGACATCATCGGACGCAGTGAAAATGTTAGTCCCCAAAAGCTCACTATAATCAGAGTCAACTGTATATCCTGTGTTTTGTCATCTAAACATGTAAAGAAATTGTTGGTGAGAAACATCTTTATGTAAAACCTGCACATCACCATGTATACTAGCTATCTTATAGATGATATTGATAAATGCCCAAGCAAAGCTGGGTTTCTCTTCTTTCTAGTTAATAAAACAAGTTGTACATTCACTGTTTAATTACCCCCATGATTTAGTTAAGTTTTCCCCCATGATTTTAAGATTAACTGACTTTAAATTAAAATTCTCAGAAACTACTGAAATACATCTGATAGTCCTTAGCATTTGTAACTTTTTTAAAGATTGTCTATGGTCATCACTCAAGAATAGTTAAAAACAATGGTACTTACAAAAGCAAGGTTGACCAATAATAGGCATTCCAGCATCGTTACTTATCTTCTGGAGTTGCTGAGTGAAGTTCCTGTAGAAAAGAGGAGAAATCTATGAGATCTAATAAAATGATATTAGTTACTAGCGAAGCCACCAAAGCACATACTTTCTCATTATTTCTAACTTTTGCAATTTTTTAATATTAACAATGTCCTACAAATACGAGACATGATCCAGTTTTGAACATTCTTTTGCTCCACCTGGAGATAAAATTTAAAGAACTAGTGGTGCTACAGAATGGCACAGATTTTGTCGTATATTTTTCTAATTTCCTTGGTATGGGGCAGCATTACGGTCTTGTCCCATCCTCTTGCCACGTACAGTCTATCACTACCCAAAATACATTTTCTGAAGTTTTTTTTAATTTTTTGGATTCCTAATGGCAGTTTAGAAATATTACTTTTAAAATTTTAAGGAAGGAAAAAAAGTTTATGCTTTATTATTGACAGTCCTTTTCATAGAAATCTTGCGTTTTTGAAAAACTTCATTTAAAGTAATTTGAAGCACTTTCGCTTAGGAAAAAAAAAAAAGTATACAAATTGCTGTAAATGCACATATTAATGACATGAGAGACATTTCAAAAAACATATTTGTGTAATATATAAAACAACAAAAGAATACAGCAAAATTAATTATATGTCATCTTAAACAGTGCAATTAGTACTACCCCTACAAAAACTGTGAAGAAAAATATTGGAGCCATTTTTGAGAAAATAGCTCGTGAGTTTTAGTAAAGTTGATCTTAACACGTGATTTAACTCAGATGGGATAGAAAGAAAGTTATAGGTTTTATTTAAATAAACTGTGTGGTGATATCTTGGTGATTCTGTTGTTGGGTCCCTAGATTGATTGCCTCATGGATTGAGTAGTTAGGCACCTTTGTTCTTGAGGACAGACATATTGGAATTATTGCAATGCTACTGAGACACGAAACTGACTCTGTGACCAATTGTGATATATGCAAAACCTCAATTGATTACAGTACAAATAAATATGTCAATTGTGATAGTTGTGATTGGAAAGTTCACTATGAGTGTGACGATGTACTTCCAATGGATCACAGAGGTCTTCAATTGAAAAGTAATAAAAAATTGAAATATTTCTGTAAGGAATTTAGTGACTGCCTTTAAAAGGGTTTCTGTTAAGTTTTAAAAATTTATTTATTTTATTTATTCAACAATATGTACCCTTCATAAAAATTAATACATAGTACAATGGTACAAAAAGTATACCTATGTTTTAAAACAATTTTGGGATAGCACTCAGGATAGAGATTGGACGGTAATATGCAATGTGTGATTTGTAGCCCGTTTTATGAATCATCACTCTACTTGATTTCCACAAAGTAGAAAAATACCAGTGCACAAAGATTGATTAAAAAGTATTCAAAGCGATCACGAATGTGAATATTTATGTTCATATAGGAAGATGTTCGGTATTAGGTCAGGGTCAGCTCCTTGTTAATACCAATTACCAATTGTTTCAAACGCATCTGCCATGTTAATATCAATAGAATGAGTCAGTCACACAATTAGAGTCCAAATCAGAAACAATTGAGTAATCTGGTAAGTCACAGATGGAAAATTGTTTACCAAAGTAATTAAGTTTTATTGAAAAAATATTATTATTGAGAAAATTATAGAAAAATTTGATGTATCTGCATCAATGAATGCATTTAAAGAAAATGTGAAAGCAAATTGAATGCTTTGAAAGAAAAGTCCATAATTTAGAAAGTAAATTACAAGAAGCACCATTAGTACACACAAACAATATTATGAATGAAATTCATGAACGATAACTAAAATCAAAATATATTATATTTTATGATAATATTGAATTGAATGATTTATGATATTTCGAGTAATGGAATAAATTATGACAAAACATCAATTGAAGCAATTCTCTGAAAACTTAGTAAACCTGAAGCCGCGTTTAGTAGAGTTGTGAGAATAGCTACTAAAATTGTAAATAAACCAACATCACTAGAGTAACTTTTGATAAACTGAACAATCAACTTGTCATATTACCAGAATGTAAGGGGTCTTCTAGAGGAACTCGCCAATTACAAGATTCAACTACATAGACCTGGGGTTCTTATGTTTACTGAGACCTGGTTGCATAACGAAATATATGACAATGAATTTAACATGCCAAGTTATAATATCTATAAGTGGGATGGAGACTATGAAGTAAATAAACAACAAAGAGGTGAAGTATTGATTGCAGTTACCAAGAAATCGGATTGTGCCGTTAAATATTTCAAGCAATTAGGCTGAAAATGTATTTGGAGAAATTAATTATCAGAGTATGAAATAAATTGTAAGAACAGTACATTTGCAATCACATTGACATATTGATAGTTATATAGACCATAGTGATAAAATTGATGAAATAGTAGCATTGAATAGTAACGCTGTAACAATAATAGTTGACAACATCCATTGTTTCAGAAACAGTTCAATGGCCATTATTTAAAAGGCACAGATTTTATCAAACTGTGCAAACTATAATAATCTGTTTCAGATAAATAAAATATTGACAGTTTGGAGACTTTAGACCTGTGTTTTTGCAAGAAGACAGATTCCAGGATCAGTAAAATAATAAACCCAATAATGCGATATATATACCATCCAGCTGTAATAATTGAAATAAATCTGGTATTACTTGTGTTAATCCTGTCTTTGTCTTCTTTATGAATAACTTAACAAAAGTGAACTGGATGATAATTGGTACCAGGGCCCGGCAACTCTCCATCAAAACTGGGGACAAAGCTCGAGGTTGCTACTATAGCAAGCGCTAATGTTGCCGGGTGCAGCTGCAGGTTAGGCACGCCAACTTTCCCACATACACATTGGTTAATTTGTGAGAAATACGAAAAGTGCCTTATAAATGTACGATTATTCATAATCTATACTTATAAGAAACCTCTGAAGAATGCGCAAACATAGACCTTATCTTTTGTAACATTATGGGCCTGCTTGCGACGAACTCGCACAGTAGCCACGCACGCTTTAAGTATCGTTGGCAGCAGTTTGAGTTTTAGTTCATGTAAAGTAGGTGATACAGCAGAGCGCGCCACCGTAATTGTCTCCACCATGTTATATGGGAGTTATAGGGCCCTGATGGGTACTCTCTCCTTTGAGGATGCATGTGATCTTGTCTATTTGAGAATAAGTGAAATTTTTATAAATACATACCAAAAAGGCTGATTAAATGCAAAAACAGTTTCAGCTTCTGGCTAAGAAAATGAAAGAATTATTAAACGGAAAAAATATCGCTTATGATAGATATCAATTTTCTGGTAATGTAAATCAACCACAACAAAATATTGACTAATGAAGAAAAAAGTACTTGGATGAGGGTAAACAAATAGATGTAAATTACGTGCTGTTCCTGTAGGATTATGTTATTCCGTTGGACATGATCTCCAATCCTCGCAGCTATTATGGATTCCATGACCTTGCATACTACACTGGTGAGACTTTTAGGTCTGTAGTTCTTTCGATTTCTGTTCTCTGCCTTTTTAAAAATGGGGGTGACATAAGCCTTTTCCAGATAGTAGGTAATGTTTGCATATCTAGAGATTGTTTGAAGATCAAGTTCAACACTGGGGCTAGCAGCCTGGCACAATTGTTTTAGAAAATTAGCGGTATTTCCTCAGGCCACAGAGCAGCATCAGCTTTCAAACCGTGCAAAATCTGAGCAGTTTCAATATCGGTGAAGAAAACATTTTCAAGAGTTTCAGTGTATCTTTTCTCAACCGCTGGTAATTGGTTCACGGGTTTAATTGAATAAACTTTTTCAAAGTAATCAGTGAAACATTCTGCGATTTTACCTGAGTCAGTAAAGATGACTCCATAAATCAGTATATTGTTTGGATGTCCAGTTTTACATAGTATATCTATATCTATAACACTACATGTATTATAAAAGGTCACGTATATTTTCAAAAAATTGTACGTGACCTTTCATTAAAGATAATTTGCGATACTAATAAACAAGATAATTCATTGAAAATAGGACATGTGTTTCATTTTTAAATGTGTGCAAGTCAGAAAAAAAATTTGGAGCCAATTGAGTGTTTTTTAAAAAATAAATTGCATTAACTTCACACAGAATTATTTGATATATTAATTTCCCCCAAAATTGTTCACAACTTTTTAAAAATATCTGTCTATAATGAGTTGTATGCTTTTCAATTTTCTTTTGCTTATGGAGACATCCTTCAAAAATCCATTAAAGCAACATGTAATTAAACCATAAATAATAATATGCAAATAACTTCAAGTTTCAATCGTGTAAGTTCCCCGAAATTTACAATACAATTGCAAGGATGCAGTAAATCATGCTGTACATTTATAAACATTAAGTTAATAATATAAGTTAATTGGATAATTAAATAAATGTTTAGTCTGCTTCTCAATATACCAACACAAGTTGATACAAATGAAATATAGAAACAGTGCAGCATAAGATAAATCATAATATTGAAATATTGGAAAAAATACCTCAATGCATCCTCACGTACCGTCCGCTGGGGAGCAAAGCAAGCAATTGCCCAAACACGAATCTCTACACCAGTGAAGAACTGTTTGCCTCGCATGTCCCATACACCTTGATTAGGCATTGCTTGCTGTTTTGTCTGTAACAACACAAATATCCCCACAGAAACATTAGCTCACTTCATTGTATCGTCCTCATGACATTTACCATTATCAAGTAAATTACATCACTATCAGAAGCCAGCACATTAAATAAGCAGAACCTAACCAAATTGCCTAGAGGTGTAACTACATCAAATATGATCATGCATAACTAGGATCAGAATCTTACTTTGAAAGCTGTATTCTTTGTACACAAAAGTATAAATTAATTTACTTGCTCACAATTTTAATGAAAGTTTGATCCCCATTTCAGAGTTATCAAAATATAAGTTTCAGATGAATCTAAATTACAATGTAAACTCAGAGTAAACATATGCCGTAGTATGATATAATATTGACAGTACATAAATGTAATCAAAAGTACTAGGCCGTACTAAATTGACAATAAATCTCATATTCAGCACAATACTGTACCAGGAAGTATTGATTTTCTATGGTTTATTTGCAGCACGAGTCTTGTTGAAACAGGTCTGAGTGACATCGACATCTCAAACTTATGGCAGGGGTTAAAATGCATATGATTACACGGTACTCCACTATATATTCCATCCAATAGCAAATGATTGCACTCGAGGACACAGCCAATTTGCAATTTTGCTATTTAATTAGTTATCACAAATCTATGAACACTGGCAAACTAGCAAAGTAAATACCAACTTCACCAATTTGATTCTAATTTTTTCTCTTTACTGCTCTCCATGTTGATGTTGACTTGTTTATTGAACATGCACTTAGAACAGAGTTTGTATTAACAATTTGTAGCTACCGAATCCATCAAATTAAATAATTACATAAAATAAACATAAACGAGTTTATCATAATTTTTACTTTTTCATTTAAAGTTTATTGATTCGAAATGGAGTGCTGCTAGATATTTACATCTCTTTAAAGCATTCTAGATTCTTACATTTATCCATGATTAAATGAAGTGACGCACTAGCTCTAGTAAATTATGGATGGAACAAATATTGAAAGAATTCTTGGGGAGGGGGATAATAACAATAATTGTGGTATTAGTAAAAATAATAACTCCCCCTTACCATTATCATAAGTTTACTATAACATCTTTTCTATACAAAATTTCAATTTCTTTATAATTAAGGTGTTAGGATGTGAAACTGAAAAAGATTCAGTTCTGAATTTTGGACCTTCATGGCTGAAGATGTCATACTTCATGAGTGTAAGTGCTACATCATATTCAGACAGTGTGAATTTGTGACATTTACAAATATTTAGTAATTATCAATACCAAGTGTTCTAATTTGATATCATAAAAACTATTTGTATGTTTTATGATTAAAGAAATAAAAATTATAATGAAACTTTTAATGAAACAATTTTGCTATTTTTCAGAACAATAAAAACCAAATTCCTAATTTCTAAACCAAATTAGATTCTTTAAATAATTGTAAGATAATCACTGCAGACTAAGTCTAATATATTAGGTAGCAAAGTATCCGTTTAATTACAGTAATGTTTGTATTTTCAAGTAAACGTTTTATTGAAACCTTTGTTTTTACAGGTGTTAAATAAATAGGGGACAGGCATCTGTAAAACTATCACACATACAGCCCGACTTAATTTCAGATTCACACTCATCTTGCTCTATTTTATCTTCAGAGCTTGTAGGCAAAAGAGAAAATTTACATTTTCCCTGACTCTTTTTTTTTGGCAATTCATAATAATTTCCAACTGATATTTTTTACAATTACTTAAGAAAAATAGATAAGTAGGTTCATGAAATGAATTTACAGTTAAAAATGTACGGAGAATCCCATATTTTGATGTTTGAGCTATTAAAGAATGAGGGGAAATTACGCTTACTATAGAATGAGAAAGTGTCATATTGTGTAGGAGAACGATGTAAAAGAAACAACTGACCATGGGGCTACCTCTCAGGTCTGTGACACACGAACATTGCCTTGAAGTGATTTACCGAACGCTGATAATGTCAGCTGCATGGATGCCTGTGCACGAGTCATTTAATGCACGTCATAGATTAACACTGTATCTATTGCAAAATGACACAAAAACATGCATTGTGCCCACAGCTCAAGCTGGAATGTAAGTCAAGATAATTCACATTTTTCATCTTTTAATGTGTGAAGCCTGCTAGGTGACAAGCATAGGCAACCACACATGTTCCCGGTGGTGTTGTGACAAGTAGACTGTTGTAAATTGCGAAAAATGAAAATTATATTATTGTAAAAGCAGGATATTTATAGCATTATTAATAGATGGAAAATGATGGGATCGACGAGGAATGTTGTAAATGCCAGGAAAACAAGTTTGCGGGAACATAAAAGCAGGGTTTTACTGCAACATGAAATAGATAATGCACATAGTCTCTCTGTAAAAGAAAAAGCATTTTATCCCAAATATTTTTGAAACAAGAAACTCTAAATCCAGACAGTCACAAAAAGGCCATAAGAAAACCGTAGCTTTCTAAATGCTTATTGGTAGAATTTAAAATCAGATATGAGAGAGAACAATTTGTCACCTTTTCTGCCACTAAACAAATAAGCCAGGTCAACAAAGCAGCATATTGTAACCAGAGACATTTGTGAGAGCTACACGTTTCAAATATTACGATATTACATTACGAATTATGTATTATATTACAATATCTTATTTTTATATGATTTAATGAAAAACAATATTGAATATCCTGATCTTCTATCCCAAATCTCATGGAAAATACGAGTTTGTAATCTACAATTAAAAGATAGATATACATTTGAAATTCTGTTAGCAAAAACAAATACATATTTTCATGCTCCTCTACTGAGACTGTACAGAGTAGCAAATTAAATCAACAGAGACCTTGACATACACAATATCTTCACATGGACAGTGAAAAACGTGACATTAAATGATTTTTGCTAGATATTTATTATAACATGCCCGAAAGTTATTACATACAGTAACATCAGTCATGTTATTATATACAGTAACATCTTGCCTTCATTATGCAGCTGCCACAACCGAAAGCCATATCACTGGGACAGGAAAAAGAAAACTCAACAGTATCCTGTGTCACGCGGCCAAATGTATTAAATTTGCACAAATTCTGTTTTATGAAGACCCCCCCCCTGCAGGACATGAAAAACTGTTATGTTTTGGCGTTAAACAGATTCACTTTTCTGCTGAGTAAAATGCCATTTAACCTCAAAAGCCAAAGAAATTTTCCAGTTAAGGCAGGTTTCCAGACTGCTTGCTGGTTTAGACAGATTTTTCTGTGCATGTTTTAAGTAGAATAATAATAATTATAAAATATGTCAAATTAGGCAATTGCATTTTAAAAAATTGTTTATTTTCATAACATAAGTCTCTTTTTTAATAAGGACCAGCTTTCATTTTGTAAGAATTCTATACAATTTAACTACGTCAATTTTAAGTCATGAAAAAAAAAGTCATCATAAAATTAGAATATAAGTCCAGGAAGTGTGCGAACAAACAAGTCTGAAACCTGTCAGTCAGCAACAACAAAAAGCAAGTGGATATTTCCCTATCAGTGATCTTTCAACATTCCTTTACAAAGAAGTGCCAGGTGTTTGCTCTTTTGCATCTTGTATTTTATGTAGCTAGAGTTGAATGGAAGGCGAGGTGGTTTACATAACAATGTTAAACAAATTAAGTTAAATTTTCTATATGACCTTCCAATACACATGCACAATACTGACCAACAATGCTTTCACCTGATTATCAACACACAAACTGGACATACTACAACTAATAAAAGAAAAAAAGATGGAGAGACCTGTCCGCTGAGGGAACTAACCCTGCCACCATACTGCAGTTTAGGTGGGGGTAGCACTCGTCCCCGCACTTCCATCATATTATTACTGATGGTTAAGCCAAATTCTTGTACATATGCATCATTATTGAAATCAGCACGACGAACAAGACTATTAATTTCTCGCTCCCTGTCAGGTGCAGATCGTGCAGTAGCTTTGATCATAGTTGATGTTTGCATGTCAGTGAGTTTTTTAATGCAACGCTGGCCAGCAACTATGTTGCAAACCTGAAAACAGTTGAAATAAAGAATTAATTGAAGGATTAAATGAATGAATTGACAACAAACAGATTTTATTTAGAAGGCTTTGTTTTCAATTCAATAATTTAATTCAAATACACTAACTATTAATATTTTGAAACAATGTACATGAAATTATTTAAAGACCTAATAATGAGGAATAGATTGCATTAAGAAAGAAATCTCAGCTTGCAACTTCATTAAATAAGTAAATAAATCTATTTCACAAACGAAAGCCACAAAGGGCCCACACTTTCTTAATTAGTCTTCACTGAGAAAACATAATCGATAGTCTTTTACAGGAAAGGAGCAAAATATCTTTACAGTTAGGTGTGAATGGGCCATTGGGCATGTCTATGCGACTATCACATTTACAATATAGCTGAATTTACAGGTTAAGTGTGAATGGGTTGCATTGGCATGTACTATGCACTATCAATTACAATATAGTAGCCCTTGTGATTTGAATAGAACAATGAAACTATATATCACACATTAATTCACAATTCTCACTTACACAACTTATCGTAATTAACCTCACTATCAATACTTTTGACGGATGATGCTCAGCAGATTAAATGCAACATCTAAACCATATGTAATATATAGTGAACTCATGTGTCCTTATACATTTTTTCATGTATGTACTGAGGGTCTCACTCCCCTTCAGAAAATTCTACTGATTTATCTCAAAATTACTCGAAAACTATTAGCATTCTGAAAAAATTTACATGTAATTATTTAAAGACCTAATAAAGAGGAATAGATCGCATTAAGAAAGACATCTGTAGCTTCAGTGCACAGGAAACATTGAAAACTAATTTTTAATTTAGTTGTGTTAGAGCAAAAATTACGAGAAATTTTAGATAAAATCTTATTTACATGGTTCTTGTTTATAATTTCAGTGAATGTTGTACAAAAACTACTTTAATTTTAAAAAATCAACAGAACTTGATAGATTCAAGTTTGAACAACATATTTTATTTAGAAAAAATTAGAGGAGGGGGGGGGGGCGATTTTTTACTTTTGATTTTCAAAATTTCAGTGGTTTCACAGGAAATCAGACATACATCATTTTAAAAAACATACTTGGTGCTTTGGAGGTATAGTTGAAAATATTTGGAATACATGCCCTACAGGCCTTTTGAAATTTGAGGATCCATGAATCACCCTTACTGATCAGGGAACATTGGTTTTGGTGAAAAAACTGTGAAAGGTTTAGGTGCTAGTGTTATTCACAGATATTTTGAGGAATATCACTTTTTTTGTTATTAACTTTCAGAGCAAGAAAAATCAACATTTTCTACATCAGGGACCCACACAATGTTTGTTGAAAAATAGCTTGCTTCTCTGCAGCATTGCATTACTTCCTCTTGCTACATACAAGAAACCAGGAAGAAAAAATTACCCATTATGCAAATATGAAAATTTCAAAATGTTCTGAAAGGATTACTTCCAGAAAAACTTCTTATAACTTTCAAGCAACATGGAAAATTTGTAACTTTTATGTAGTGTATTTAACATTACATCCGAGAACTCACATCAAGTGTTTTATTTATGTATCATAAAATACTACTACATAATTATATTCATACCTCTAATGGTAAGTAAGTGTGCTTATGCTCCTGACCAACTTGTAGGCAGGGTAAATGCGGATAACGCAACTTCATCTTGTATTTGTCCAAGAAGTACTTGGCCACAGTACATTCAACCGTCTGTCCATTCTCCAACTGGAGTGGAAAACTATACAAAACATAATATAAAATGTTGACATATAGAAATTTGCAAAATTTGCCCTTTCCTACTTTACATAAAACTAAAGGATTCAAAATTTATTTCTATCTATAGCTCAATGACAAAAGTGTCTCAGAACTTCGAGTAATATAATTTCTTTTTATTTGACATGTATAGTGCTAGATCTGAACTTAACATCATTCTCTTTCTAGAAAGAAAAGTAAAAACTCAAATTCTGTAAGTCACAATAATTTCATTCTGGAACCTTTGAGATATTAGTTTCTAACTTCATATATTAGTAGAAACTTTATTGATAGATATCCAATTACATTTACATAAACCACAAACGTGTTTAAGTATTTGAATTTTTGAAAAGGAAAATCTTTAAAGCTTTAATCCAAGAACTAAAAGGGGTCCAATTTAATTCATTAGCACCCCTCTCTTTAAAGCAGAGATGCACAAATTTCAGCCTCTTCTTGGAGGTCTGGAGAGACCGTGACCTGAGGGAACCCGGAAAGTTGGCATACTCCCCGAACGCTGAGCTGTCGCTTCACTTTATTGCTCTTCAGATTTTTCTTTCAGAAATAGTCACTCGAAGTTAAACAGAAGGTGCAACATGACTGATCCCAAACAAAATCAAGTAGTTGCGAATTGTTGGTGCAATGCCAACTGGGAGCACAAATTTTTATTCACAGAGAGAAATGGAGCAGCAACATGCCTTGTATGCCAGAAGATGGTGTCAGAGGAAAAAGTTCATGCTGAAGGCTTATAATTGGATCAGTATTTCTATATATAATGAAACTTCTTTTATACGTTTTTCACTTCCTATAATTTCCATGCTAAATTATTTCAGTTATGCGTTTTACGTTAATAGGTTTTTACACTTATACGTTCATAGTAAAAGTCCATTTAAGACCGAATAACGTTCAAATGATACCGGTGAGGCGCGGGGCGACCAGTGTCGAGCACCCGGAACTTCCATGTTACTCGAGTCGGCACGGTCAAGAGCACACCCGCAGAGCGACCTGGCGCTCGACCTCCGAGGCGACTTCTCGCTAATGAAACTTGTAATATAGAAACTCGACTCGGCCTAGCTGGGGCCAAGCCCGGGAGATGGTAGCGCAAGTTGGCTCCCCGGCCACATCCAGTAGCGGAACATTGAAAAATTTCAGAGTAGGGTGCATACGAGAACTCCGAGTATCTCAGGAGATGACGGCTAGGTCCAAGGGAAGGTCAAAGGCGTCCCTGGAGATAGTAACGACGTGGACGACCAGTAAGTGAGAAAGTTTGAGAACTGACAGTCCCACTCTCCGAAGGCTGTTTTGCTTGCCGTAAAAGAGTACAAGATCCTTTCGGTAGCGGCATGGCAAAAGAAGCAATAGAATCTGATCGCCTTTCCGGCCTTCCCTTTCGGTGCGGCGGGGTTGGTGCCGCCAGGCTGTGGCAGTCGTGCGCTTCCTGATGCCCATGTAGAACACACTCGCGTAATCTAAGGTAACAAAGCTTGAAACCGAAGCAACCAGCCGCGGGATGCTGCTACCAGTTGTAGCCGATGCAGGGCACGGCCTTAGTTTCCGCAGTGAAACTGAGACACAAGGTCATCTGTAAAGTCCCCATTGCGAGTCCGTTCTAACAAAAACGTGTGGTAGGAAATGACCCCTTTCAATAACAGACAAAATCAAAATTTTAAAAGTTGTTAGGGTGAGTGTCAATAAAAAAGTAGATATTCCTACACAACTGGTAAGACGATAGTGCAAAAATATTGAGTTATTATTGCCCATAATAAATTTCAGTTAAGCATTTTTCTCACTTATACATTTTTTCCCTTCAGTCCCAGAGAAACATATAAATGAAGTTTTACTGTAATTAACCATTTAATCGTCTATTTGCAAATATATTTTTCTTGTATCATCATTCATTACATTGCCAAGAATATCCATGGAGATCTTTGTGCACGTAATATTAGCTAGCTGAAAATAATTTCATTACTTTTTCAGTGAAATAAAGCAAACAAAGACGGTGAAGCAGCTAAGAGCCAGTTACGCTCTGGCAATGAACATAGCAAAGACTACAAAACCATTTCTGGAAGAAGACTTGTCTAGTATTACATGTCTAATACATGTCTAGTATTTTGTTTTGTATTTTCTTAGGCTCAGGACAAAAGTACAGCTATTCATGACATTGGGCAACTAGCAGTTTTTATTACAGGAGTTCATGATAAACTTGTCACCACAAAATAATTATTATCATTAATTCCTCTCCTAGGTACAATGAAAGGAAGACATTTTTGTGCCCCTGCATCTCGCATGGAAGACTTTAAACTTCCTTTGGATAAATTAACAAACAGATGGTGCTGTGGTGATGAGAGGTAAACATCAAGGATTTGAAGGTTGTCTCACCGAAAAGGTAACTGCAACAGGTTGTAGACCTATTCCACTCATCCATTGTATCTTGCATTTGGAGTCTCTCTGTCCAAAACATTAAATTTGGTGAATGTAATGGAGGTGGTTGTGAAATGTGTCAATTTTATAAGAAGCCCCTGTACGTCCAGAGGCAGAATGACACTCTCACATCTGCAGTTGACACTGAGTGGCAATAGCACAAACACTCTCGCCGACTACCAATTCTATCATTTCTTTCAAAAAGTGTGAAACAATGTGATTTTGTATCTCAAAATACTATGTTCTCTTTTTTATTATCTCAATGTTTCTATTTTATTCCTCATAAATAAAACTACAAGCATTGAAACAAAGTGTATTACATTTAACACCAGATATTCCTGAATTAAGTTTATGAAGTGAGTATTAATATTAACAATGATAGATCATTAAATTTTTCTGTTCTTGTAATTTAAATTACAAATGTTTTGAAAATCAGTTGCAACAGTAATGAAGTTGTGGAAATTGCTGTGCACTTTAATCTGAAGTAATAGTATACAAAATAAAACCACATCTCTACAGAAACTACGTCTGCTTATTCAAGTCTTTAGTTGTCAAATTCCACTTGATTCAACACATTTCCATCAGAAGAGCCATAGGGCACTCTGCCACTGAGGGCACGTGTTCAAAAAGGGGAAGTCTTTCACTAGAAACCAGTAGGAAGCGAAAGGACTGCCACCGCCATCATGAGGCGTGTCGTTGGACTCTTCTGCAAGCCTGCTTTAAAGTGTTGAAATCCTTTTGGCTGGTAAATATTCCTTCTCAGACAAAATGAACTTGAAAGGGTATTCCTTAAACACGTTCTAGTTAAATGTTTGAGATGAAAGAATTTTTAATTTAGTATAATACCATTTGCTTATAATTGATATCTTCATACAAAATTAATTACTGTGTCTTTGGTTCTTACTTCCTAGTTCTCTTATTGAAGAGAATATATAAAAACCATTTCAGAAATGAACAAAGTTAGAAATGCAGCAACTTACGATTGCATTTGTGCCGGCCGACGAGTGACATTGCACACTCTGTATTTTCTTCGCATGGTTCCACAGTGAGTAATCTCTATTTTTAATCCCTTAATTTCTTTAGTAAATTTCACACGCTGAGAGTCTGTCAATGGTTTCCTTTGCTCATTAATGTCTCTAATGTCCAAAACTTCACACATGAATTCAATGACAGGTTGTGCTTTGTAGAATGCTGTTGCTGACACTGCAAACAAAATAAAAAGACAACATGAAAAGCTGTTATATTGACAAACAGAAAAAGGTAAGTCTGTATTCATACCATCAATATTCAGCATCATCTTCCACTGAGACGGTCTTACAGATTGATGAAAACCAAACCATACTTCACGTCCCCCACCAAGAGGATGATAATATCCATCAGGAGAAGAGAAGAAGGACCGGCCCACAGGAGTGTATGTCATTGATGGAAGATGTCGCATAACAACATCTAATGCCTAAGAAGGACATATGTCACTAATAATCCAGTACTTTCTACAAATATTCAATATTTTATATGTATGCTCTTACCAGAATGGCGTCATATGGAATTTGTCGAGTTCTGCCTTCCAAAGCTTCTTCAAGAGCAAACAACGAAACTTGGGCCACCCACTTTATCGTTACTCTAAACACTCTGTCTTTACCTTCACCAGGCAGTGTTACCTACAATTTGAATTATTTGCATTTAGACTTAAAAACACTAGAAAACATTGGTAAAAAATCCAGAAATATCTTTACTTTACAATCATGATATTATTAACATAAAAATGATCAAACAAAATAGCCATGAACTATTACCTCAAGTTCAACCCGATCATTACCAATTGGCAATGGATCACGAGTATAGAGATTGTTCCTCCCATCAAATACTGGCTTCAGAGTTCCAAAAATTTTACTATAGGCATGAACCATAGTTTCTATAATTTCTCGATTTACTTTACGTGGGCACTTATCAGGTTGAATATTAATGTCATAATGGTGCACAAAACCTCGAGGCATAGATATTTGGAAATGATTTGCTCGTAATACTATTGGCCTTCCTTCTCGACCCAAGTTGGGTCTTCTTGGACAGTTGAACACTGTAAAAATAAAAAAAGAAATTAGATTAATTCACAAGTTGAATTTCAATTATACAATAACACATCTTTAGGCTTATCACAAACTAACACATTTGAAATCATTAAAGCAACACTCCAACACTGATAACAGCACACTCAAATATTTTTGCATAACATTAGCAATATTTCCCTCTCTGGCATTGATAATAATCTTGATAAAAGGAGGAAAAAGTTTGCCTGCTCCAGTTTCATGAAGTGTTTCATTAATTACTGTCCATACATTACAGGTGTAAGTCTTTGAAACCACCAAATTAATATACCATTGTACAGAATGTTTAATTATAGAAAAATGTGTAGAAACAACTTGCATAAATTCAGCAAATTTCACTTCCATAATCAGAAAACAATGTGTAGGTGTCATGCTCATAAAACAATAATTGTTTTCTTCCTTCTATTGGGATTTTACTCATGCACGTTTTCCATAATTATCAAGTTGCCAAGCCGAAAATATCCCAATCAAAACAAAAAGATAAAGAACGAAATGCCAATTCAACATCATGTTCGTACTGCTTTCTGACGTCCGAAAGACGCGCATTCGCATAAGCGAATACCAATTGCAAACTGTCCGAAAGAAATAACTGCAAGCAAACTACAAACCAACCAATAGTCCTATCTGACACTCCGACAGTGCAAGTGGCAACAGCACGACAGTGCAAGTGGGCAGTAACAGCAGGGTAACTAAAATCTTATTAATGAAAATATAATTACGTCGACCATATTTTTTCAGGATGAGTATGAAACTTAGTCACAGCCAACAACACAATGGTCAACAGAAGGGTTTCGTTGATGAAACTATTCTGTAGAACGCAATTTTGAAGACTTGTGCATTTGAATGGGTGTTCCTCAGATACAAACAATTTTCCAACAAGAAATAAGCATGTTAGTTAATAGCTATTTACGAAATAAGTACCGTAATATGTTACGATACGATTCCGCATGTTTTATCAATTTTATTAAATTCCCGATATATTATAATTTTTGCTCAAATTTTAGTATTCATCCAACGAATGGTAACACACTAATAAATAGAGCCTGAACGTTTGGCAAAATGCCTTTTTTATAATTGTGATTTGATGACTTCCAACACTTACTTGTACTTCTGGCGTTTTAATTTTAATTGAATTCTAATATGTGTTTTAGATAAATAGTGGCTGACCGTAAGGAGCCACTAACCACTAAGACAGTCATATTTCAAATAATTCGAGATCACAGTGGATCCCGGCTTGACAAAACATTTTCTATTATCTAAAATAACAACCTTGAAAACCTCTTCCAAATACCCATTTAGCAAAACTGTTTTCCTTTAGTTATACTGCCGTTTTACTATACATTACATTCTTGTCGAACTTTCGTCAATTTAATAATTCCTTCAACACCCAAAGTTACGCTTTCACTCTCCAATGTATTAAAATATTTCTTTACAAAAATACTTGCAAACACAATAGATTTTGGCAAGTCGGTGATTTGAAAGACGTAACACAATTCTGGGAAAAATTTGTACTGCGCATACGCCGGCATCAAATGACAGGATTTCCAATGACGGGTCCCGTCATTCACAGTTTTGTGGTCAAAGACAAACTTACATCTAACATAATTTTCGTCACCACCATCCAACGCGATATCAACACTAACGCACAATGAGCATAGAAGAGATGACAAACACAATATCCAAAGTACCAATTGAATATGGCAAGAACTTAATGGTTAATATTTCTCAAGTTAATTTAAATATCAGGAATAAACTAACTTAATTGTTTAGGATTTGAGGTTATGTATATGAGGCTACAGATTGTCACGAATAATTATTTATCCACATAGCGTTAAAATTGCCATACATTTCCCATTCCTAACATAAACAATATAAATATGTATAAGTAAAATCGTGGGTTTACATACTAAGATTATCGAGGAAGCTATAGTTATCTTTGGAGATAAAGACATGTCTGACGTATTCGTACAATACAATCAGATTTCATGTATTATACGTTTCAAGTACTATCTTGTAATGCTTACGAGGGCTGCCTTTTATATTTCAAGATTAGAGAACAAAAACAAATATTAATAATCGAAAATCACTTTATTATTTTTCAAAATATTCCCCATGAAGACACTTTTGCATGCGTTTAAACCAATTGTCGAAGCACTTTTGCCACTCTGATCGAGGTATCTCCAAAACATGCATTCTGGATGCAGTAACTGCTTCGTCAGGTGTCGAAAAACGTTGACATCGGTTTGTTTTTTTTACGTACGTGAATAAGAAGTCATTCGGTGCCAAGTCAGGACTATACGGCGGATGACTAATCAAATCGATGTTTTGGGTGCCCAAAAATGCAGTTGTGTGAGAGCTCGCATTGTCGTGGTGGAGTGATCCGTCTTCGGCGGTTGGTTTTCCTGATTTCTTGAAAGACAGCTGGCAAACAAATCGTTGTGTACCACTCAGAATTGACTTAATTCTGCGATGTCCATGGCTACGGTATGCGGTCGTGTCCAGTTTTTTCGAGGAAAAAAAAAAAACAGGCGGACATACTGTTGGAAAGTGCTTCGTGCACGAAACAACTTTTTGTATGATTTTTGGATCATCAAACACCATACAGGCGACTGCTGTTTACTTTCGGGCTCATACGCGTAAATTCCACGATTCATCACCTGTCACAGATGCCATAACTTTTTTTCAAGCACCGCATCGTCAGTATTTTTGAAGCATTTCTTTCGACCAATCGGCACGAGCCTTTTTTTGAGCGATTGACAACTTGTGTGATCCACGCGAACAAAATTTTTTTTTGCAGTCAAATGCTTCATGCAATATGATGTATGTGTCCACTAATTGCCTAATTGCTAATTCTCACGATAGTCACATATCAATGCGTTTCGGAACAACTATTTGACGACCTTCGCCGAAATTTCCGTCTTGAGCACTGTAGCTGAGTTAATCATCTGTCGCAAAGTTGTAAAAATAATCGCACGAAAATGTTCACGATTTGTTAGGGCCAAGAAGCATCTTTTAAAGTTATTGATAACAACACACACAGCGCCGATATGTCCAAAACGTTAGATTACGTATTAACCTCAAAACATTCCAACTTTACGATAGAGCTTCAGTTACCAGATTGCAACACCATGAGATTGCCCAATCCCGAAGACATAGAAGGCAAACTTCGATAAAAGAACCAAAACGGAAGACTCAGCATTACACAGATCATCAATAAAAGCTTTAGATCCTGTTAGAGGGTTATTCAGTTTATATCTAAATTCCTGTTTACGTACTTTCGAATTGTACGTACTTCCAAAAAACTCATTTTTCTGAAATACGTAGTTAGTTTCCCATTGACGTATGTCTACATACCACGCAATGTTTCACTTTCTTGAAAACTCCTAATAAAATTCTTATTTACTGCAACTAAACAGCGTGCATTCGTATCATTTTACATTATTAACCACATCCATCAGAAATCGATCTCTGTACAAAAATTTTCGTTTTTCTTGTAACTTAAATGCACTCACGTCTACACGCCCAATTAAAATCAATATTCAAGTTACATTTTTAAAAATTAAAGCTCGAGAAATACTCATTATTTCGATTTTGACAACGAAATTAACAGTCCTCTATAAATATCATCGTCCTTTTTATACAACACTCCCTCAAAAAATATTTGGACAGTGTCAGCTTACTCACGTGAAACGCAATGAGCTTATTTAAACAGAAAATACATCCTCAATTGTGAAGTGCTGAGCATGCTGTTATTATTGTTGATCATTCCAAATGTATGTGTAATTTTTCATATTAAAAAAATTATCAGAAGAAGAAATCGAAAAAAATATACCGAGAAATTAATTCCCTGTGTTGTTGAAGATTACCTCCAGGAGAGGTCTCGTTAATTCTTACAACCTAAGCATTGCCAGTTAAATCGCCTATAAAAACACACGTTACAAATATATGTAGTTAACATCTGTTTATTCTCATTAAGGGCATTCTGCTTGATAAATTCAAAAAATGATTGAGAGGCTACACATAGGTTGCCCACCTGCCAATTCCAGAAAACCGGAGACCGCTGCGACCGGGGTGGGAGGGGAGGGGGATAATTACTAATCTAAAAAGAAATGACGCAGACGTTTATTTATTTAAAATATAATTTACATATCATTTGGTTTTCTAGTGATCTATAAATAATTAACATTTATTCAAAATAGTGTTACACTTTGGCTAACATCTACTTTTTCCAGCTACACTTTTCGTTTGCTCAGAGCTTTTTTTTTTAGCAGAATATTCGCTCAGGTTTATTAAGAAAATCAATCGAATATCACAAGTAAGTCGGGGGAGGTTCAATTTACAAATAACTCAGATTTACGGCGCCTAGATTTAATTTGTTTCGCATTATCGTCCAAACATTTAACAATTATCGAAAATTCCTTAACAGGAGCTTGCTAATGGAAGATAAAATTTTTCCGACAAGTTTAGGAAAATAATTGTCTTAAAAAACGATAACGAAAAGTCATCTTGGTCACAATGAGATCGAATAGCATTCCCGGGGGATTATTCTTGTGGCATTCATTAGCATCCCGGGACTGCTGCGCGATGCGATTCTCGCCTTAATCGCTAATTGCTTCTCTGTCTGATATGGTAGAAAGAAAGAGACAGCGAGTGGCGAATAAACACGAGAACAGCAAACCAAATTTCAGGTTCTGCTCTTTATCTTTCTAATGAAGAAGGAAAGGACAGAATTTCTGATTGAAATAGATAAAAGCTTTATATTTTAAGTTGTAAAAAATCTATTTATTTCGGTACAAAAATTTGAAATGTATTAAAATTAAAAAATAAAACGAGAAACTTTTTCAAAAAACCAGGGAGACCGGAGATGAAGCTCAAAAACCGGACTCTCCGGTCTAAAACCGGAGAGGTGGCAACCCTAGTAATGTCCGCTATTGTGGGTGCTATTTAATCTACGGTTCCTAAGAAGCCTATC